ACCAAAAAAGTTGTGATCTTCATCATTAACTTATCATTGGATTATTGGATACTAACTGTTTTCCCACGACTTCACCCATGAAATTATTGCCGATGTCATCCGCGTATGATGTAGTTTCCCGTAGGAGAACGAATTTTTAAAATCAGTACAGTAGTTTCGGAGACTATTCATTGCAAATAAACAAACAATCAATTCTTTCCACTTTGTAATGTAAATATAGATTGGTGGGATTAAAACGGTATTGGTTTGTGGAGGTCATAGTATGGATTGAAACAATTATATTTTAAGCTTAAAATTATAGTTTTTAAAGGATGGTAAAGTCTGCAAAAAAACATCTGCCAATCAACAAGTGGTCAGGTCGCGTCAGTGCAGTGACAACTGATGTCCACCGAATGTGTCAATTAGACAGCATTCCTGTCCCGTGACCTGAACGTAGACCACTCGAGCACACCACTGACGCTATTGTTAAAACATTTTATAGCTGATTAACTAAAGGCCAGTTGGGTTTATATAAACACCATTGACGTACGATGAGGCATTTTGTAATTTAGACGATATTTTAGCGATGATATTTTAGTTTTGAAATCTTGCTGACATTCATTATAAAACGGTCAAGTGCGAGTCGAACTCGCGCACGCTGGGTTCCGTGCCAACTATGTGTAGTATAAAGAAATACCGCTACCTCCACTAAGATATTTGAAAATACACAACGGATTTAAATGCGGTTTTCATTTATTTCCAGAATGATTGAAGGAAAAGGTTTATAGAAGAAAAAGGCGAAGGCGTTGGTGGAAAGCTAGTTATCTATAGAAAACGCAAAAACATGGTTGTTGTATATTATATAGTATTTGTTGTTATAGCGGTAACAGAAATAAAAATTTCAACTTTACAACTATCACGGTTCATGCGGTACTTCTTGATGATGATTTGCGTACGGCACCCAAAAAACTAACGAGTTCTGATCACAATCTGCAATTTCACAATAGAAGTTAAAATAAAATTATGAAGAACTACTAACCGCAACTACTATGTACTCATAATAAACCTTCTTTTAAAGAAATTTCTTAGATACACTTGTGTAATTTTGTTTAAATGAAAGGAAAAAAATAATAATAGTCAATTGATATTACGGGGACGTAATGCAAATTTATGCTATTAAGTAATTACGAAAATATGAAAATCGCTGTGATTGGTTTGATTCCTAAAAATCAAATGAATAAAAGGCAGACTAAGCTTGAAAACTTGATTTAATAAAGGGTAAAAAAAACTGTAACAAACAAAAAGGGATTATAAAAACAGTACGAATGCTTACCCAATAAAATTTTAAATTAAGAAGAGTGAATAATAAAAATAAATGATGTTGAAGATTAAAGATAACAAGTTTGCATGCGGAAATCTAGGATGAAATAAACGGTGGTACGACACACCGTTAAAGGTTATTTAGTTATTACGGGTGTACTTATATCAGAAAGATTTAAAATCAAGTGGAGTGAAAATCTGATGATTTTGTATAGTCTGACGTGCTGTTCACTATACATTTCTTTACAAACAGCATTTAAATTTGCTACTAAATATTAAATCTCTATAACCGGTCATAAGCTAAACTGTTAACATATCATAGAATTTTCAACAATACTTCCATCAAATGAATATGGTACTACTTAAACTTTTTTAGACAATCTTAATGTGCAACTTTATGTATGATAGTTTTTATTTTACCAACCATTATAGCAATGAACCCTTTCACTAAAGCCTAAGTAACTATAAATACGTAATTCTATAAAACTAACCTCATGGAGACCCCACGCGTAATAGCTTCATTACCTTCGAGTGTAAGCTCTATGCTAATAGGCCGCCTATGTCATACTGGCACGCGATACGATTTAAAAATGAAACCACAGTCAATAATCATATCAGTATGTAATTTTTAACATAATACCTATTGACTACCATCAGTGATATTATTTGTATAAAACGTTACTTTTTATGATACAAAAATTTTAGAATGAATAATTTGATAATCTTTTTAATACATATATTTGTGGACCACAAAGAAGATAGGCCATAAGCACGCTTGAAGCGCGCGAGCCATTACTAAGTTGACAGCCCGCTATTGGCATTATTGTATTGATGTTATGAAATATATGACATACGATATACACTGGGTTGGAACCATGCCGTGTAAGAATGGCCTTCAATCTATTTTCATGCGAAAGTAGGGTAAGATTATCAAAACGTCAGTCCTCCCAACTCTACCACCATTCCATCAAAAAGACAATTCCATAAAAAATTTGGTCCATGTTTTCTCATAATATCTACGAACAACGTCCTAATCCATTTCAGTGTCATGTGAGCTCTTATTACCTTTTCCTAGTAGGGCTTATGCACAAGGAGCTGACTTCATTCAGTATCTATCTCACGCGCTATTATTTAAATCGATTCCACTTGTCTGTTGGGTTTGTTCACCACTGATTTTGTTACGATTTCCACTCTTCTTTTTTTTATTTTTATTACGGTTTATTACCCTTGCAAAGCTAATAAGATAATATACTTTGAATTATTCAATACCTTAAATAATTTTATTCGATCCCAGTTATATACTGTAAGTTTTGTATACTATGTCCGAACAGACAGTCTCCCGTGGTGCCGCACCACGGTCTAAACTGTACCGACGCGGTGACTGACGGCCGCCATCCTTAGATAAGATCCAGATAGTCGGCCGGCCACATAAAAGACGATATGTCGTTTTCGACTTGTAAAAATCTCAAAACGGTATCGCGGTAACAAAGTGCCCGATCTCTATTGACTGCTCTTTAAAGTTTCATACCATACGCCACATTCAAGTAGTTTAATTATGATAAGATTTTTGGTCAACAGAATTTTATTCAACTTTTCATTTCTTTTCAATGGCAAAATAAGTAATCATTGATATTTAAGATTCTCAAGTCTCACAGTGGAGCATTTCCATTGATAGTCATCAATAGTCACAGATTAGTATAATATAATTAACTTTGTTGAAGTTCGTTAAATACTTGAATTTCAGACTCAACTATATCTCAGGTAGTTACGAGGAGTCCTGTGGTAAGCACAGGCTCGTTAGTCTTAGGGATAGGCGTCGTATAAGAGATATGCTTACTCTTTACGATATCTATTCGGGACAATTAGATTGCATCGGGTTAATTAACAGAATGGTGTCTTTGAATGCACCAACGAAACGGTCGCGACACACGGAACTATGTCATATACCCCTTGTAAGAACAAACTATGAGGCTAATGACGTGACAGTCAGATTACCTAGAACTTACAATAAATGCTTTTCCGGAATTGACCTTTTCTCTATGTCCAGAAATGCATTTAGGGCTGCTTTGGTCAAGTCTATCACTGTGGATCGTCATTAATTGAGATGATAATTAATTCTATTAATATTATTATTTTTTGTTATTATGATTGTTATTATTATTGTTATGATTATTATTATTTATACCTAATCGAGTTAATTTAATTAATAATTCTTAACGAGCCATTGTCTGTTTGAGTTGTTGTTATTTGCGCCATGTAAGCCAGACAGTAGAATGTGCTTCTGTACCGTAGGTATCTTTGCCTGCCTTACCCACTCGACACGCGGTCGCCGTGTGCTCAACTCGGCCCCGTCTTTAGAGTTAATAACGTAATTATGTAATTATGAATTGAAGTTCTAGTTACGCATACTTTATTTAAACACTTAAACTCATCCATACACACACACACACACACACACATAGATACATACACCATATTTGTCGTGCGATATAATTTATATAATTTATAAATATGTATATTTTTGTCTAATACATATATTTTCTTTGCTAACTGCCCTCATTATGATTATATAATTAATAAGATTTGTAAACATAATAAGTTTCTATAATTGGCGTCAATGCTGCATACTTATTTTTGTATAAAAATAACTAAACTGCTGTTGAAACTTTGTTGAATAAATAAATAAATAAATAAACTTTATATAAAATATTCAACCTCAAACTGGGAACATGGTTATAAAATTTGGTCATTATAAATTCCTCTGTATACAGCTATTTAACAACAACGGCCGCGTTAACAATATCAGAATCAATCGATATAATGTTACGTCTAACTTACATTATTTAAGTTTTTATACAAGCAGGAAAACTATCCTTGAGTACAAAGTAACTTATAGAGCTAAAAAAAATACTTCATGGCTATTAGTTAAATGTTAGCTCTAAACTACAAAATATATCTCAAAGAAATAAGGACACACGGTAATACACTTACCTTGCATCTATCACACGGGATTTGAAAACATCTGTCGACATGCCCGTCGGTGCCGGTCAGGAGTGACGTCAGCTGGCCGAGCGGACCAGCGGCCGGTCAAACATCGTTCGCATCAAGGGACGCTATCGGGATACGCTATTATTGATCTGTCTTACGGAAATGTTACGAGATAATAATTTGGGAGACGATGCTGGTAAAACTTTATCTCGTTCCACAAGCACATAGTGCTTGAATTGTTTTAATTCAAAATCAAATTTGGATGCGAACAAAATTTTCCCTGATAAACTATTAGAAAAGTTTATTTTCTCAACTCTCGATGAAAATCATATCAAATATATTATCATCCCAGAAAAACCCGAGTTAGCTGCTGCACCGAGTATTTTACCAAATGGTTACGAGTACCGCTCTAGCGATCTCGCTCATTCCGCCTTGGCACCACGGCATCGCCTTTTTCCCCACGTCCTATTATTTTCTGTACTTCCATTTGCTACAGCGAGATAAAACACAGGTGCACTGCAGGATCATCGAGGCGACAGATAACATGCTATCTTTCTCGCTCTAGAAAGTGGCGATACCGTACTACCAGATCAACCCTTACGCGCAAAGCCGCGAGAATTTTTACGATGACGCAGAATATGAGAGTCGAATGCTATTACGTCCTCATGATTAGCAATTATTGCGTTTCTAATAAGCTTCTATTTTGCCAACAGGTGGACGTTTCTGCTCGTTCTCCCCTTGTATTGAGCAAGTACAGCGGTCTTGCATCGCACTGCAGGAGCATGGGTTTCAAGACATAGTGACTATGGAGGTGCTTCAGACAGAGTTGAAAGTTACCAGGCGAACTATACCAGTCAGGGATCTGTCCTTCCTCAGGCATAAGGTAAGATGATAATAACAGATAATATTCATTACAATGAAATAATATTGTGATACTTATATAATGCAGCTATTGAACTAGTTATGTAAAAAAAACATTACTACGACTACCTGTTCGTATGGGCTAATTAGAGAATTTTACTTGTGCAGAAACCTTAAGCCTCATAACTAATTTAAATTTCAGTTTATAATTTTATTTATTAAAAATTCAATTCCATGACCCGACTTCTAAAAAAAATATGCTGAAAAGAAACAAAATAATTTCATTCTACGATGAAAAGGTAATAGAATTACTATTAGCAATGATATGAAAATCACAGGCAATGTCAATTCAGGGTTTTGATCAGAGTTCATTTTTCTTTTATTGATATAATATTTCGCTTTGGATACACTTGTACTGGTTGTGTGTTTAAAAAAAGGAGGTTTACTGTTCTCTGATTAACATTAACAACTTATGTACATTTTTTCCCCATACATGCATCAGGCCATTATCCCCATACATGTGTCCCAGTACGAAACACGAGATAAAAGAGCAATAACACATCACATTAATCACATACTGCTTGATGTTTATCATATTTAGCGAACCAAAATTTTGCGGGTTTTAAGAATTTTCTGATCCTTTCTCTATTCACTAAATGTTCATGATTTATATCATCTTATTATAACTCATACCAAACAGTTTGACCCGATGACATTAACATGTCAGAAATCCTAGCACAGGAACCATTACGTAGCTCTGAGCGCAACACTTAACTGCTCCAGATTGCAGGAGAGACCTAACCAGTGACCCTCCAAGAATAGCATGTATTACTCACAAACACATTTGCGAGAGTGAATAACGACGCATTCGTCGACTCCTCTTGCCGCTAACGAGTTGATAATTGACAGCGGTCGGGTCAAACGGCGGTTAAGTGTGATCATAGCAAAGTCTGTGTTATAATCATACAGATATGAGAGAATATAAACCTTTGAAACCCAAGAGGTCGCTATCACCAACTACTTGTTATAGCGAAACTTTGTTACTGATTATAGTATTAAGATCTTGATTATGATGTATTTTAACATGTTTGTACTGATATTCTTGATTGTTTCTGTAACTAATAATTTGATTTAGCATACTTCAGAAACTCAAAATACGAATTGTCTACTTTTCCCTCACACCCATTCAAATCTTCTTTTGACAGATTGAACCCTTTGTAGCGGGCATCAGGATGTAGGTCAAAATTTAAAGTCAGATTATGTTTTATTAAATCAAGTCTTAACAACAATCAGAATTTCAATGCTCTTTGTTTAATTTATTTTTTTATAGTTACAATTTTAAATCATTTTATATATCATCATGATGGATAGCTTAATATAATAGCATTCCCTAATTAATAACTAACCTTTATTAAACATTGCTAGAAAGAATTTCTTTGTGTGCTATATTATTAGGCTTAGAAATGAAGTTTATAATATGAAACTACTATAAAGTTCAACTAGAAACAATCAAGGACCTAACTAATATCTCGACACAAGCACATCATTCGTACCTAATTACGTGATGGGAACCATTTTGCCGATTTTATTTACGGAAAGCTTACAGATTTGTTCCTTTTGGGGCTCGAAGGTGAAAACTAAAAAGTGTTTAAGATGTCCCGTCATCATTATTTCAACTGTTTTTCGTTAACCTTATTGAAAAGAAGCAAATAAAAGATATGGAAAGAAGCATATGAATTCATGATTTCTCAATTGATTTCAAACAGTTGTAGTTCTTAGAAACGCTGATCAGTTTTTCGAGATAGTTCATACAAGATTTTTTTTTGTTTTTTAATTGACGTCAAATAATTGATAACCTTATTTAAAAAAAGACGCACTTTTTTTATTTTAGCAGCTTCGAACACTTGATACGTTTAGCGATTTTATCATTTTATAAAAATATCGTAATTCCAATTACAACATGTTATTTTCAGAATCCAAATACCTACTAAAATCATTAATATAGATTAAATTTCGTCTATATCTTGCAAGTTATAAACTATTATACATTATATACTGCTACTATTATATCTATACTTATTACTTCTAATAATCTTTGATGAAATGATTATTATTTGATAGTTAATCTATTTCATAGGTAGCTATTAAAAAAATTGGTTTTATTCACCGGTACCACAAGGATAGTTTTAATCAAACAGTGCACACGTCCACACGTCAACTATGAATAGGGCATCGGATATAAACGAGCACGGATACGGATATAGGTCTCGTCCAATGGATAATTGGGTATTTACGGATATGTAAGCCCTTTGCGGATATGCGATGCGCTCGATGCGTGAATGCCCTCATACATCTCAACCGAACGGTGAGCTGACGTAGATTGAAGCTCAGACCTTTACATCAATGAGAAACCGAGCTTCTTTTGTAATTGTGTATATTTTCAACAATATTGAATCTTATCTCCATATGAAAAAAGATTAAGGGAACGTATGAAATGCTGAATGTATTTACCGCCAATGTGATTAGCGTGTTTCGCATTAAATTGGCTCAATCGGAACCAATCGGTTTTAAAATATTTATGTGTGTCTATGTCATTTTCTTTTTATGCAATAAATAGTATTTATTGTTATTATTTTATGATAAAAAGTCTTGAAACACATAAAGTCCGCTTCGCGAACTGGGAAAATAAAAATAATTACATGTTAACTTGACAAAATTATAAGAAATCCAGAGAAACGATCTTTTATTTTCTACGATGACATAAATATCTCATGTAAGTATTTTAAACGTTTAAAAGAATGCTTCTAGTTTGATAAAAAAAAAAAAACAAAACTTATTATTTGATTTAGGAAATCAAATATGGGATCGCCTCAGGCCTATTGAATAAAAAAATCTCTCAAAATATTTTTGGAGTAATCGGTGAACATATGTTGTTGTACAAAAATACATACAACCATATCGATTTTGAAGTCGATTAAAAATCATGTCGCTACTGCATTTTATAATATTATAAATATAAGCGAAGCAGACGTGATCCTTGTGTAATTGTTTCAAATAATAAAGAATTCTGAATGAAACTTGTCCTGACTCTTAAAGTTCAATATGAAATAAACCCAAAAAGAAATAAGAAGCACAACTTCAGAATCAATATGACGTCCTCAAATTTCGATTTTACGTCACCGTTTTTAATGAATATAAACTTTAAACTTGCTGTGTTAGGGTGCACGTTATTTTGACATCATGGTGCAGTATCGGCGACATATCGGCCCGTGTCGGGCGCGTCACGGCGCCGTTTGTCACGTTTCGCGGACGGTAGCGAAGAGAAGCGACGTGATTTGTCGTTTTCTTGTCGATATTTCCAGTTTGTATTTGTCAACGGCTGATTCTTTAGAGATGTAATAAGTCCGCAGTCGCAGGCCAGATGTCAAACTGTGCAAAAACAAGAACGTGATATTTATTTTAACGTAAATACCCCGCTGTATTGCGTCCAAGGAGAATAATTATCATTTTTGTTTTAACGAAACTGTCTTGTTATTAGTTTTTGTTGTTTTCGATAAAAGATGAAAGCATTTTCTACATTATTCCAACCTGTAATGGAAGCCGGCACTGCAGAAATGGCATGCCTTGAAACTGACGTTATGATTAGGTAACCTTTCTTTATTTGAGTTTGAAGTTATTTGATCTCGTTAAGTATAAAATTTAAATGGAACGTGTGCAAATTACCAAGAGTGAATCCGGCTTTTACCCTATTACGTTAGTCACAAGATTCATACTTAACAATATGTCGATATTCTCCGCCATCCATCCCTAATAACAATGCCAGTGTATCTTTCCGTGGGAAACTCTAGGGCCTTTTAAAAATCAACCTAAAAGCTAGCCTGAGATACACCCTGCCTCGTAAATTAGGAAGCCATTGGGCGATTCCATTATCGCGGATACAAACTTTTTATTCCGAATTGTAATAGTTTTTGGTTCTGTAGAAAAGTGTAGAACAGAACATTCTCACCTCTTAACAAGAATGTAATAAAATCACTAGAAACGTTCAAGTTCTGTCACGAGTGTAATGCAACATTTGGCCCCCACCTTTCTGGATTAATAAACAAAAAAACACAAGTCTGATACATGAGAAACTTTTACACTAAAAACCTCAATCAATAACATAAGTAAAAAATATATACATTAAAATGTAGATAAATTTTGTTCTATTTGCTATTAGATTAAAAATTTAAAGTTTCTTTAGCCGAGTAATTGATGTCTAGAATACTCGTTCATAGCAGAATCACCCCATTATTAGTTTGTTACATGAACATTACCTTAAAAGAGGCTTGCCTATTTTGGTAAACCTGATACATTGATTTCCAACATGATTAAGTATTATTTAGTTCTACGTTATCTTGTGCGGTATAAATTACGTCTAGACTTTTGGGGCTAGTTTACGCTGTGGCTTCGGACTCGGTGCAATTATATATGAGGTTGAATTCTGTATTGTTTATGGTTCGAACAGTGCAGTTGATCATTGTAAAGTCTGTACCTGCCAACGTTGTAAATGTATTTTCGACAAATACAACTGTTTTGTAATGTATTATTGATATTTGATTAGCCCGTTTTAATATTTCATTGCCTTTACATATATTTTTTAATAATGCTATTACAAGAGTTTCTTGGGGACGAGTAACATTGTTGTGTGCGATTAGTATATCTCAAAAATATTAAGGTATGTAGGTAATATAGTAAAATAAAGAAAATACTTCATACAAAGCCTTTATAACGTCAAAATACCTACTATGTAGAAATAATACTACAATCCAAATCCAAAAAATCCAATCGACAGCAATTTATTATATCATTAATTAAAGCCACTGAACTTAAGGCTTAAAATAAACGCTTTAAACACAAAATATCGTGCATCCAGCCTGTATTGTACCGCAAATCATGGCTAATAACCTGCCACTATGGGAATACATCAGCTTGAGGTACTTTATGAATTGTGCGCGGGTGCGGGCTATCTTCACGTTAATGGAA